TTCAATCTTTCCCCGTAATTACAATGCTGCGCGAGCTCCCGTAGCGCTGCTACATACTGCATTACACTCTCACTGTCCTCTCTTGTCCTCGAATTAAACTTAAATCGCTGGACTATTTCGCTGGGTGTAGGGTTGTAGTGTGCTTGCAGCAGCTCCGTCAACTCGCCATAAGTTTTGTCACCCGGCTTTTCTGGGCTCAGCAAGTTTCTCATTAGGCTATATGTCCGGCTGCCCACAGAGCTCAACAATATTGCACGTTTCCTTCCCGCTTCTGCAATCCCATTTGCCTCGAAAAAGTGATCTAACACTTCACAATACTCCTCCCAAGTCTGTTCCTGACTATCAAACGGAGTGAGCGTCCCTACCATCGATGCCGCCATGACGCAGCTCACGCTGGCTTCTTTGTCTGGGAAGGGTAGCCGGAAGATCTGCGCCGTCAGGCGTACTTTTAAGCAACCTCTTATGTGCTCGCCAGTTTCCTCATCGCCAATGTAGTATCTTCTCAATAAGGACACCCAGGCATTCCTGTAGAATTAGTCTTCTTTACTACACACCACATGTCTTCCAACAACGCAATGTTTTTCTACCCCCGCCTGCCTAACCAAACACAGGCTAATTAACAACCCTCTATTGCCCCCTACAGGACATCTATAACCACATACTCCATCTACTACAGGAATTTTAAAGGAAACATCATTAGGAAAAATCGGGACTTTTGCTTGAGCGTCGACTTGTGCACATTGACGAGTTACAAGACGGCGACTTAGACCAGTTTTACTGTATATGTACTAATATCTCAAGAGAGTTTCACACTATGTACCCTGTAGGATTCACCATTTATAAATAAGACATTCAAGACGTGTTCTGTGGTGGGAAACGGTGGAATTCTGGCCAACAGCAGCTGTGGAGAAGAGATCGACTCGGCCCAGTTTGTCATCAGGTATGTCGGGATTACCTGGATGCAACATAATGCGACACAATGGCAAAGTGTAAAATGTCTGGAAATTAAACATTTTCTGTTAAGTTGAAATTTAATTGTCCTTCATAAGGAAAGAAAACTTTGATGGCATTAAAGGTCACCAGTAGTGTTATTGTTAAGGAAACCATGAAAACTAACAGTGAAATGTATTTTCATTAAGTGAAATTACACACACACACACACACAACAACAACAACAACAACAACAACAAACAAAACTATAATATCCACTATAATACACTATAAACAGAAAAAATAAATTGAATTGTAAAATAAAACTTAACTTTTCTATTACATGTGCATGTGGATTGCTGCTGCAGAAACTATTCGATAGTTTAAAAAAAATTAAATAAACGTGTATTCGAATAATGTAGAACAATGACTTGGTGGACACTGTGACTTGGAGTTTTGCGGGACTTTTAATAATCATTTTAATGATCTGTCATTAACGTGGAAATAGCGGCATCTAGTGGTAAGCTAAAACAGGAAAAAACGGCAAAGGGAAGGCAGGGAAATGCAGACAACTCCGTTAGCCGCCTGGAGTAAGCGAACTGGCATTTTCACTCAGCAACTAGGAGGCAATTATGTGCGGTGTGATACATGCCGAATTAAACCTGTACGGCACGACAGCACGACGTGCACGAAACGGAAACAACCTGCTGCACATCAGAGTTCGATAATGTGATTTGTTAGCTTGTTAGTTAAATTTAGCGCAATAAAAATACTTACGAACAAACACGTAGTACGCTGGACATTGACATATAGCTATCTGTAATTTTGTAAGCTTTTATCCTGATGGAAGTGTAAGATATATGTAGACATCACCAAAGTGGAACTTTGGCAAGGACTTCCTTGTTTTTAGCGACTGAAATAGTGTGGCGCGTGCTGTTTGGGTATCGCAAGTGCCAAAAACTTGAAGTTTGTTTTCGTATCTTTGTGTTTCTTCTGTTAATAGGTGATCTAAATATTAGTTGCTTGGCACAGATGGAAAATTAACCGACCTGTGATGCAGTTCTTTAGAACGTCCAGTACCCACCATTTTGGAAGGGTTTATTTGATAGTCACAGCCATAATGTGGATCTTTTCTATACTTCTGAATCCAGACATCCCTCCTTATTTATTTCAGGGAGGTGGATGAGAGACAACCAGGGGGGTCACCATGCATTTGCAGTATTATGGTCTTACCGTGGTATCGGACCTTAGCTAGCAGGTGGACTGGATTTCCGGGACATTGCACATCATTCATTCATGGGTGTCTGGGAGGATTGCTACTGTTGATTTTCACCAAGAACGGTTTACACAAAATATTTCCTTTATTCAGAGTAGAGCTGAGGTGTAAATGAACTTTCTGCCAATAATAGTCACTCTGTCGGACAAACTATTTCTAAGATTCCTTTTATAATAACTGGTAACCATGCAACTATTTATGCAGTATACAGCTGCAGAAAAAATTAAGAAACCACAGCACAATTTTTTGTTTCACTCATTTCTCAATTTATCAGTTTATATCTGTGTAAAATATACATTTTTTGCAAACTGCAGCCTGGCTCTTCCCTGCTTCTCACTGAAGGGCTTCTTCCTTGTTTATGGGACTTCAGTCCTGCTTCTAGTTGCCTAATATGAACTGTCCTAGCAGTGCACTTCACTCCTGCACTTAATGTTTCCCATTCCTTTTGAAGGTCTCTTGATGTCATCCTGCAATTCATGAGAAACTGTCGGATAAGTTAACAGTCATTTCTGCCATTACAAATTCGCTTCCACCCCCTGACTGGCTGGCTTTTGATCGCTCCCAGTGTCTCCTGCTTCACCCTATTCTTGTGTACTGTTGTATTAGAAATTTTGAACCTGGAAGCAGCCTGCTGCTCAGCGTAACCTTCTGCCAGAAAGAACCATGATTAAAGTAGGATTTAAAAATGCAGATTTGTTTAAAAATATAGTGTGGTCTCTTAATTTTTTCCACGGTTGTATGGCTGGAGGGCATCTAGAGCCTATTCTAAGAGGTGTTTGGCATGAGACGGGATACACCTTAAACAGGATACTAGTCATACACTATGGGAAATGTAGAGACACCAGTTCGCCCAACAACATGTTTTTAAGCTGCACAAATAAAGGAAGAACATTCAAATCCCACAAACTGAGCCAGAGGTAGGATTATAGTCACCAACCCTGGAGGTGCGACACTACAGTGGTCACTGTTACCGATCAGCATATTAGATAAAACCAACAATGGAAAAAAGTGTCTGAAGAAAATTTAATCTGTTTCCTTATTTTCTTACCCTGGAGGCACAAGCGTCCCCTCGATTGACAAGAGACTGTAGAGAGATACTGATGACAGGCAGTTCTCGTTATTAAATGTGTCCCCCGTGTTTCCTGCCCTAACAGAGGCCTCGTGTATTACTCTCTCTATCAGCAAGGGGGAGCTAAAATACACGCAGGTCCCCTTTGACAGAAGCCAGTTTTAAAAGCTCTTCCTTCTCTGACTCAGGTGTAACCTCGCTCCTGTGGGCAGTGGCTACCGAAGGGACGTTGGCACTAAGACGAACTTGGTAACATCCAATCCCAGCATCCTCTTGTATAAGTGAGTCATGTTGATCTTGCTGAAGAAAACTGATTTTCCTAGTTTTAAATATACATACAGTTTTAAATATACGTACCTGTACATGACAAGACAAGACTTTGTCTTGAATGAATATCAAATCAATTTTATTAGAATTTATTTTGATAAAATCCTGATGTTGATTAGGAAATCAGTTAGTCCTCCAATATATTTTAAAAGTTCTTAATCCCTCAGCTAAAGGGGAATTAAACCTTAAGTGTCACAGTTAAGGAGAAAAGTTAAGGTGTTTTGTGCAACTGGCACCTGGTTTTCGCTGTAGGTTCACTCTGATTCTTTGTCTCCTTCTCTACCTGCCCGTTTCCACCGCTCACCTCAACCCAACAGATTTGGATCCTTGATGGAGCTCCGGCGCCCATTTGTTGAAAGGCTGGGCACCTTTGGGGATTCCCTGGTTCTGTTTCCCACCTTCTCTTATGGGCAAAACACGGCTGTCTCATTGCGCGCCCTCTACACAGTGCAGGACTTTGGAAGCCCAGCACGACCCGTCTTCATGAACCCAGAGTACATGCGGAGCCTGGCCCGGTTCTGGAAGACCAGGGGCCTGAAGAAGCGCCTCAGCACCGGCATGATGATGGCCAGCCTGGCACTGGAGCTGTGTGATGAAGTGCATCTCTACGGCTTCTGGCCCTACCCCCAGCACCCACGAGACTGCCGGTCCCTCAACAACCACTACTATGATGACATGAAGGCGAAAAGCGTACACGCCATGCCTGTTGAGTTTGACCAGCTGGTACAGTTTCATAACCAGGGTGTGGTCAGACTTCATCTGGAGGAGTGTACACCAAGACCAAAACAGAGTCATCTCCCATTCTTTCTCCATTGGTGGTGCAGTTGACCCAGAGATAAACTACAGCTTTTGCTTTAATGTGAAGGCTGTAGATGTCTTTATGTTCTTGTGTTCAGGAGGGAACCTTCTTGCATAGACATGTCCAATGTTGTTTTCTAAATCAAACTGAAGCACATTTAAGGCTTAATTAGTACACAGTGGGTCTACCCTCAAAAGGTAGTCACACCCACAAATTATTCGCTACAGTTTTTATTAGTGTTGGTTTCCAACATTGAAAATTGTATTCTATGGACCACAGATGAGGAAGTTTCATTTACTTATTTTGGTGAAAATAAGGTTTGATCCCAAGACCATTTTGTTCACAGCAACTTTAAACTGGGCCTAAATATTATTAATTGTACTGTTGTAATATTATAATTCTTGTTATATAACAAATATTTTATTTATTTATTTTTATTTTTTATGGGTTTTTTTTAGAGATGCACCGATTGACCGGCTAGTGATCGGAATCGGCCGATTTTTTGTATGATCGACCCAGATCGGTGACCGGCCGGTCAGTCTCACGTCTGCCGATCCTTTTATTGCCAGCAGCAGCGCAGGCAATTACGTCACAACTACGCGCACACTCACAGTCTGATGATAACATGTCGTTGGTGTGGAAGTTCTTTTCTGTGAGTGGAGATGACACAAAGATCGCAGTTTGTAATGTTTGTAAAGCAAAAATACATCGTGGGGGAACAAGCTCAAAAACGTTCGGAACAACAAACCTAATAAGACACTTAAAACGCTATCATTTAGCTGAATATGCCCAGTTTGAAAAGGGGAAAGTGGCTAAAGCTAGCGCGCCGGAATTTATTTTATACTTTACGACACAATTTATTTTATATTTTTATTTTGTTGTGAGAAGATCCTGTCATGTTTAATAATTTATTTTATTATAAAATAAATTTAAATGAATGTCATATGCTTTCATTACAGTTCTATAAAAAAATCGGAATCGGCAAAAATCGGAATCGGCAGGTCACACTTACTGTAAAATCGGAATCGGCCAAGAAATTTGCAATCGGTGCATCTCTAGTTTTTTTGTCAGGATTTTCCCCTGTCTTGTTCCGTCCTGTCCTTCATTTCCCTAAGTTCCCTGCTTTTCCATGATGACCAGCATGTGTTGTTTGTCTTTCCTAGTGTTCCTAATCTAGCCCATGTTCTAGTATTCTCCAAGTGTAAAAGTCCTATGTTGTAGTTCCCTGTTTGACCAGCAGAAGTCACTGGTCATCCTGTTCTGGTCCTTGTGTTCCCTTAAATTTTTCCCTAATCCAGTCCTCATCCCCTGTTCCCTGGGTCGCTGCATATCTGAATGGGCTGAGCGTGTAGCTGATAACCAGTTGGACCTTTGGTTATTTATGCCCCACTCTGTTTTTGTCCATGAAAATCATATTCCTTGTGTTTATTCACAGCAGTTCGGTCCTTGCTGTTAGTGTCTTTGTTCTTGATTAACCCTATCTGTGCTTTAGTGTATTTAGCCCCGTGCTTTGTTTATACCTATGTTCTATGTTCCTTGTATCTCTTGGCATCTTAGTCCCTAGTTCTTGAGTGATTGTTAATGACCCACACCTATTCTTTTTCTATGCCTTGTTAGTTGTGTATAATTATGTTTATTCTGTTCCCTTGTCAGCTATTGAATGTCTTGGATGTTAGGAATTACCAGTTGTGAACCATATTCTGAATCTGTCCCATCATGGTCTTGTTTGCCTTTGAGTGTTTTGAACATAAAGTCCCCTGTGTCTGAAAGCTGCATTGTGGACCTTTGATCATGCCAGCATGTGACATTTTTAAAGTAACCTAAGTATACTGTGATATTTACATTGTAGGAATGGTAACTAAGATGTATACAAAAGGGCTAAGTATACACACAACAAGACAGTCAATTCTGCTGCCAAATGACACTTCTGGGGGTACAATAGTCCTTCTCCTCAAATTACTCTTTATCTTGAGTAGTCTCTAGACCATTACCAATTAAACGCTAAAACCTGGAAGTACTGAAGCCAGCCATTTACTCACAAACCAGCAAAGGCCCTCTGCTTCCCCTTCTCTCACTGCCACGAGCATTATGTAAGACATTGTCTGGCTCACCCTCCTCCTTTGCTTAATCATCATCGTTCCAGTCCCTCAAAAAGAGACGATCTTCTGCCTGAATGACTTCAGAATGATGTGCATAACCTCTGCATTTATAAAGTGCTTTGACAAAATGCATCCTAAAGTTCCACGAGACCATTACTCTTCAAGGCCCCTGAGACCCTCTGTAGTTTATATACAGAGTTTACAGGCCCGTTGATGATGTCATCAACCCAATTTTGCGCCACATCCTACAACAACTGAATACCTCTTAAACTTTTGTCCATATTCTGCTGTCACGGTGTGGAGTAAACAATCTGGAGGTGAAGAGACACAAAAACTGTGGAGATGGCTTCAGAAAAAAGCATACAGTACCCACCACCTCTATTGAAAATACATGGCATCCAACAGGATGAGAAAACTCAAGAAACTCAAGCTTTCACAGGGGCAGCTGATGCAGTACTAAACAGCCACAACAGAATCACCCATCATACCCTCCATCTCGGTCTGATGATTCACAAAGTCAGTGGCTACTGGTACTTCCCTCAAAGGGTTACTGTAAGCTTTCCAAGAATGGTCAGGAAAAAGATCACGTCTGACCCCCTCCCCCCCGGCCAATCTTCCAGTATTTTCCCTCTCAACAAAGGCTAAGAGTAAGAACCACTTGCAGAGCTTCTTTCTCATACTGCATATAAGGACTCTCCTATTTCCTTCCTCCACGACCAACTGCTCACTCCACTGAAATGAACTGAATGAAAATGAAATTATTCGAATGGAAATGAAATGAAACAATATTGTTATTTGTTGTTGTTTTTTTTTTTACTGGTACTTATCACTTATATTATGCAAGACGATCATTCATAATTCTGCCCATTCTTTTCATGGTCTAGTCACCATCATATTCCACCGTGTCACGATAAGAAGTGCTTCTGGGTGACTCTTCTTGTCCTCATGTCATACAATTCCTCTTTTTCAGAGGTGGAGATTTCAGGTCCACACCGTACAACTCCAGACCAAGATTTTGTTTCAACCAACCAGTTGAATATAAAGAGTCACAGTCACAGAGTCACCTCCAGCAATATTACATCAAGACAGCATTCAACCTTTAAACAAATATCATGTAAATATCTATGTAAATTGCACAAGGTATATCATTACCAGATTCTGATCTTCCTGTGCATTATCCAGGCTATGAACAGATGCCTTATACAGTATGGTGCAGATATAACAGTAATATGTGTACTTGACAGCAAAGTCAAGAACAATCTTTGAATCACATTCCACAGCTGTGCCTTCAGTCGATTAAAGAAAACAAAAGAAATGCAAATGCTACAGATTTACTTGTTGAACATTCATAAAAAGACTAGAGCTTCAAAACAAAAACAAATACCGGTTAGACTGGCTAAACTCTGCAGGGGAGTAACATCCGGTCAGAGTAAGTACAACATAAGAGATGCTTGTAGTGTAAACAGCACAGAAGGAAGTTAAGTAGTGGTAGGTCTAACATCAAGGGGTGATATGAGGGCAATAGGGCTGCGTCAGCGCTGGACAAACACCCTGATTTTCCTGCTGTCAGCGATCATCACGGTCATCTTTTACAATGCGATTAAAAATGAGATACTGAGCGACTCAAACCTAGCAAGTCATTTTCATTCAGGGGTCAGCGGAAGGTGGGTTCAATACTCCTCTTAACTTTCACACGAACTTCAGTAGGGCAGGTAGGACTGTTCAAGACAAACTTTTTATTTGCCTCTAGTGAAATTTTAATGTTTGAAAAAACTTTTGTAGGAATCCAGGAGATCATTTTAAATAAAAGTTAAAAAGTATAGAAATTTAGCAAGTGAAGATCTAATGAGTTACAGGCATCATTATCTCTACATCCGTTGTTCTGGTGGAGTGCTTTTCAGAATAAACTATTTTACCTTACAAACACAAGAATTGTAAAGAAGGCTGTGTATGAATTAAAAAAATTTCAGGAACTGCCCTTTGTAAAACCAGAAAATAGCTTTTCAGGTTTATGCATTTGTTTAAGTAGGAATTCAGTTCCAGGTCTTTTCCATGATGACAGAACAGTTTCTGAACATTTTTAATGCTTTTTGAATATATCCTAGCCAAGCCTAATATTAACAATTAGCAATAATGGCGACTCATATACATTTTCAATGGATTTGTAACACTATTACATACCAGGGGTCGCTCGTGACCCGATACCTTTCTTGCGAATAAAGTTATTGACGTTATTTTTTCATTATTTGACATTATTTCATTTTTCTTTTGTAAATTGATATGGATGAAAAGTATGAGGCATATCTAAAAGACTGAGTCAAGACTGCGTCAAATAATATATATATAAAAAAGTGACGCATCTAAGGATTAAATCTGTAGAATTATCTGAAGTATCACAGATATTAGGTTTCAGTGGTTCAACAATGTGCATCTTTGATATTGTCGATTTTCTTTGTATATTTCTCATCCTCTCAGTTAACTATAAAGTAATTTAACACAGCGGTGTGTGGTGAAAGGGTGACCACAGTGCGGTTTACAAGAAACGGTTACTTTATTTGAAGCAAAACTCATAGGGACACGAAACAAAAGGGACCGATGGGGGTCAAAATGAAGGCAGGAAGGTTAGGATAAGCAGAGGAACACAAGTAAAATTATGACATATAACTGGGACTAAACAAGAAACAGATGCGGGCTATTGACAATAAACCAAACAATAGGGTTACAAGTAACAAGACACATAAACACAGGATAGGGTCTGAACCCAACAGTACCCCCCTCCTAATGCAGGCACTCCAGGCACGAGAGGCACTGCCGGGATTGGAACAGGGTACACAGGACTGGGAACGTGGAACAAAACCTGACAGGACAACGAAATGTTAATGAAACCCAGGGAACAGAAAAACTGCACCAGGAAGTGATGCAAAAGGGTACCAAGACTGATAGGTGGAACACAAAAAGCTGGGTCAGGGTCAACAGAACAGAAAACACCACAAGGGCCCTGAGACACACAGACTAGGGACAGAAGGTGGACCTGGAAGGACAGGGCCTGGGAAATGAGGCAGGGGTCAAGGCTGAGCATGGTGGTGAAGAGTTAAAGGGAACAGGACCAGGAGGCAAGGGGATAAACAGAGGAAGGAAACTGGGAGGAACAGGGCCAGACTGTGGTCTATGAGATATCAGGGGTCAAGGCTGAGCATGGTGGTGAAGAGTTAAAGGGAACAGGACCAGGAGGCAAGGGGATAAACGGAGGAAGGAAACTGGGAGGAACTCATGACTCATGGGACGTAACTCATATAACGGTGGTTGCAGTAGGTCTCTGTGCTCTTCATGAGCTCTGAAGTTCTGAAATTTGTTCATACCTAAATTATTTTTCTACCAGTAGTGTTAATTACAGCCATAGCTGTTGTTTTGTCTTGTTTTGATAGAATATCCTACCAGCTTATGCTCTGAGAACAAAATCATGCTCTGTTAAACTTAAAATTACACCATAATAGTGAATGTTCCCACAACGTGATATAAACTTTGACCTTGTGGCCACATTTTTCCAGTCCCCACAAGGGGAAACTCAATTTAATAAAAATAGGTGAATACAATCAAAAAACTAAAACTTGTATCTTGTTTGGTTACTTACGGTTAAGGTTAGGGCTGGGTAGGGGTTAAGGTTGTCATGTTTGGATTAGGGTGATGCCCATAGAAATGAATGTTAAGTTCCCATAAACATATGAATATGTGGACTGTGTGTGTGTGTGTGTGTGTGTGCGCATGTGGTTCTGCGGGGTCTTCTATCACATCTCCCTCAAAGAAGTCACTGATAGTGCTTTTTAAAATAGCTGTTTACTGTTCATCTTGGCTTTTTCCCAGGTTTCTGCACCTTATATTCTACCACAGCCCACTGTTAAGTCCTGGACAGATCCCTGGCTTCTTATGGCCAACAAAAATTAATTAAGAGATAGGAAACCAAGGCTTCATTAATATTTTAACAGCTTGTTTTCGATCACAATCATGGAGGACAATGTTAAGTCACTCACCTTGGGAATCTGTCTCCACAGCTCTGCCAGAAGGGAGGATTACTTGACGTCAACCAAAGTGAAGCCTGGGAATGATGTAACAGACAAATATTGCAGGTGTGGGAACAAAACGGACTATCCTTATGGGGACACAATGTCCCCATAACATGATAAATATCCATTTTTTTTCCCTTAAGGGGACCGGTTTCCTGGTCGCCATAAGGGAAAACTCTATTTTATAAAAATCGGTAACTGCTGTGAAAAAACTAAAAAATGCAAAAACGCTTGTATTTTGTTTGGTTACTTATGGTTATGGTTAGGGCTGGATGGGGGTTAAGGTGATCATAGTTAGCGTTAGCATTTTTCCCATAGATGTGAATGAGCGGTCCTCATAAGGTATAAGTATACCCGACTGTGTGTGTGTGTGTGCGCGTGTGTGTGAGTGTGTTCTGTGCGGAAAGGGTTACCGTAGGGTCAGATAAGATGGCTCAGGTCCAGATTACACTGAATGCAAAATCACCAGAGACCCCCCCTGATCCGTCTGCTGTTAATCCCTGCTTGTTGATGTCTTTCTGCTCTATCTGTTACTATACTAACCTCGTACCTGGTCCTATTCTTATCACTGCCGTTTCCATATGATGTTACAGAGAGAAGACAATTGAAAATA